GATAAAATGTGACAAAAAGCAGAAATAGTCACCATCCAACTTAGAGAAAACATGAAAAAATAGAAGTTGCCATTAAACAAAAACTCTGGAATCAGACTATAATACTATGCCTTCTTGAATAAAATCCCCTTGGCAGCGTTACAGTTTGCTTAAAGCTAGCTTGTTAATGAAAGAATAAGGTAGAGTTTTAAATTATCATTTGTTATTCACTTTAAACTGAAATGAGTTTTAACCTGGGAGATAACACATACAGTAATAAATAAATGGATGTGCCATTTCAAATTAAAATGTTGGTGGTGCATACATACCCTTGAAATGCACATTACTCCTTGTTAGAATTCATTTCTAGAAAGCAACAGTGGCTCAAAAAAGTTTGTATAACTTACCAGAAATTACTTTCATAAAAGAACAATTTTTTTTTCTTACAATTTCAAGATTCATAATATAGAGATGGAACAAAACAATACCCTTTGACTGGCTATTGCTAACAGCTGAGGTCCATAGTTAAATGTATGAACTCTTTCTAACAAGTACTATATACGAAACATGGTTAACTCTTTCCATTAGAAAGACCAAATTGCATCACCCAGTTTTAAACTCTCCAGATATGTCTTTTAATTCTTTATCCAAAATTCCAAAAATGTATCTGATCTCATTACTTTGCAGCACTTTTAATCCAAGCAGCAAACATTAAAGAATCTTTAATGAAAGAACTGTAAAGAAGTGACTGTTCGCAAGATAAGCAGAACACATCAAAGTTTCCAGAATGTTACAGCTCCTAATTTCTTTTCTATTTAAGTTTTTATGATTTAAAATATAATCTTGCCCACAAATTCACTGCACTTTTCTTCAGGTTAAATTTCATTTTATGATGTAAGGAACTCATTAGAAGTCTTTTATATTTCTACATTACCAGTAATTAGAATGTATTTTATTTTGTGACACAGCACCTACCTTTTTGAAGACCATACCATCTGAGATTAGATTGTCCCCAACCCTACTTGCCTTTTGGAAAGCTCTCAAGACCTGGTGGTTCTCCCAGACATGGGGGTCAGGAGATTAGTTGGGCCATGAGGTGTTGTTAATTAACTATTATTGGTTTATCCTGAGTTGCCTCTGTTGTTGTTGTTGTTGCTTTTTTGCTTTTTATTTGTCATCTATACTGATGTTTTAAACTGTGTGGCTGCCCAGAGTTGCTTTTTCAAGCTAGGTGGCCGTATATATCAAATCAATCAATCAATAACCAACAAAGTATTAGATTCATACCCTGCATTTTGTTCAGGAAATCAAAGTACCATCTGTGGTGCTCCCTCCTCCCATATTTCCTTGCAACAATAACCCTGTGAGATGGGCTGGGCTGAGAGAGAATGGCTGGCCCCAAAGTCACTCCAGGAGCTTCCATGGTTGAGGGTAGATTACAACCTGAATCTCTCTGCTCCTGGTCCAACCCCTTAACCACTACATTACATTGCTTTATGAAATGATCATTATCAGGGCTGTAAATTAAAAAATATATATTATTCTTAATACTATAAACATGTGCAGCTAGCAAGCACCATCTCACCTCTTCTGACACAATATTGGTTAGGAAAGATACACTCAATCTTGCTTCAGAACACTGGGCTACATTTACTTAAGTGTAAATGTGGTTATAAAACATAAGAGCAATCAATTAAAATGGCTTCAACTGGGCAAGAACCTTATTACATACAGTAGAATAGGACCATCAGTTTTAAGCGTTTAATGCTTGCACATAGTCAAAAAGACAAATGCACACCCAAAGCATTGGCTAATACATGAGATTCTCCCTGACAGGTAAAGTGAATATCTGCCCCTGCATTTTGATGCTATCAAGCAAAATCTGAAATGGCACCAGAGAATTGGAGAATGAACTCTTCCATCTGCTATCTCCACAGCAAATATGCTGCTCCACTCCAATCTTTTTCCAGTTCCCTGACAGAAATTTACTGTTCTCTAATGGAAATACCAAGCTTAGACATGCAATGAAGGGGCACAGCATGGACTTCTCCATCATTCAGGACTAAGCGTCGGCCTGTTTCAGCTTTGCACCTTGATCCTCTTCTAGGCAACCCCGACACACTGGAAACACTTCAACCGCAGTGTTTTTGTTTTTAAAACATGGCTTAAAATGAAATATGAATTAATGCAAGCAAATGAAAGCATGCTTGTAGTTATCGAAAATGAATCATGGTTGTACCAACTGTATTGTAAGGTAGCTTTTGAATTTGTAGTTATTATACATCTAATATGCCCAATACTGTAACCAACGTTTTTTGGATAGATTACCATATTATTTAAAACAGTAAAAGTTTCCCCAAAACTTTTTTTTAAAAAATACTGGAAAACAATTAGGACAATAAAATGGAATAAATTGTGCAGGGCACATAGAAAATCCATTATTCCAGGGTTGAATAGGCACTTGAACTGAGAATAAAAAGATTAAAGATGTCTGGCTTTTCACTGCTTTCTCCTCCCTTGGTTACCCATGCTGCTTGAAAAACTTCTGAGAAACTGCAGGCTTTTCTGAATAATCTAAGACAGATTTGAGCAATCTACAATCCACCAAACTGATTTCTGTGGCCTCCCAAGGACTGCAAGATCAGAGCAGCGAAGTTCAGCAGCAAATCAACATTTTTTAGCAACTTGCTTGGATTTTTAAACTGCATTTTTAAAAATAAGGGCTAAAATAAATGTATGAAACCTCCAGTAGGTGCAACACACCTTTTTTGCAATTATTTTAGAAGCCCATTTTCAGCCCCTCCAAGGTATCTTTTTCATCTCCTTGTTAGGGATATCCACAGGGAATGGTCAAAAAAGTCAAGATGGTGTCCACAATGTTGCAATCAGAGTTGTGCCTGATTTTTATCTGTGAACTTCAACAGCACTCTTATGGCTGCCATGTGGACTCTTTGGACCACATCTTACGGACACCCCTGTTCCCCATATATGGGGCCAGTACAACATGATGATGGGAAAGAACATAAATCCCAGCCTTTCCTATTTGAGGCCCAATGTCATATGCAAGTACATAAGTGACACAATGCACTTTTAACATTTGTCAGTCCCCCAATGACACCCATGTCCCTTCAGTCCTCAGATGACCAGCATTTCTAAGAAACAGAAGTATGGATACTCCCCAGTGTAGGATGGGGGAAAAACAGAAAAAGGTCCTTAAGTGAAATTAATCCTAGTAAACTGTAAATACTTTTCTACATAAAAGGAAGAAGATGGGAAACTAGCCTACCTTCTATGGTTACATGCTACAAGAGAATGAGACTCTAAGTCATGCATTATCTTTGTCATTGTGAGATTCCCATTAGAATCATGGATCAGGAAGTCATCACAAGCACTCAGATCCAGTGAGATGGTGCTGTACAGATTCATCACCAGTTTATCCTTTGGCCACCTGAAGTCAGACCTTCTCCTTAGCTACTCAGACCTTTGGAATACACCCTGCAGAACTGAGAGTCCTAACATCTCTGCCGGCTTTTTTAAATGCCCTAAAACATACTTTCTGAAGTAAGTTTTTAAAGCGTGCTGTTTTAATATTTCTGGCATAATTGTTTCATTATAAACATTATAAAGATTTCAGCAGTTGGCAATATAATAGTTAACAAAAACTTTAACTCCATAAATATCTCCCCTGGCACATTCACTGTAAATGCATGAGAGAACATCTACATCAGTTTTAGGATATCCATTTATTTGGGCTTTACATTAGTGAAGTATCAAATTCAGTCATACTAGGAGTAGGTAGTCTTTTTGTGCTCAGGAGCTATACCTTTTTCTTCATTTTTTTTTTTAAATTAGGGAATGGGGAATAAAATGCTGATATCTCAAAAGAAGTGGATTTTGTGCTCACAGAAGGGAATTAAAGCTGCATTAAAGTCAAAGTTAAAGAAGCAATTAAAAACATAATGTTATGTCTAGCGACCCCTATTTTGTTACATATTTCCAACCAACAATCTGCAGGAATGCAATCACGACTGTTCACCAACACCACCAGGACTGCAAGGGGTGCCCATGGACCATGAGTTTCCACAGTTTAGCATGCTGATCAGCACCAGAATGCCTATGGACCATTACCCCCCCCAAAAAAATTGGATCGTCAGTTCCTCACTTTTATTAATTGCTGGAATTCTGTGACATTTTGATAGCCTCATGAAAGTTCTCAGCAGACTTGTAATTGTTAGCAAATTCTCTACAATGTCACTCAGGAGTCAGAAAAAGTTGCCAAACTCTGATTTAGCATTACATGAACAACCCAAAACACATCTTGTCTTACTGAGTTTCTCCCTACCTTGTTTACTTCAGCATGGCCAAGGAAGAGATGGGAACTTTGCTTTAATCAAGATCTTCCATTTGACTTAGAGTAATAAATTGTGATTAATGATAATCAGGGGCTATTTAAAACAGCTTTCCCCAATCTGATACCCTCCAAGGTGTTGGGAATACAAATTGCACAATTTTATCCCACATGAATAATCCCTGAGAATTCTGGGAGTTATAGTATCAACATGCAGTACACAGAACACATCTGGTTATGGAAAGCTGGTTTGACTCCAGGTGAGTACATGGAGACATCCATACAATTTTCTTGGCAACAATAAAAAGTGATTTGCTACTCTCTTTCTCCAGGGTGTTTTTTTTTTCTTTTTCTTTCTCTCTCTTTTTTTTTTTACTTTCCCACCTAATCTACAGCCCTAGTTTCCCATGCTCACTAGAACTGACCCTGTTTAGCTTTTTTTGAAGATCAGCCAAGGTTGTTATGTGCTGCTGTCTAGCTTATGTTCCGTCTATTGACTTAAATTACTGCATTATGAAAATAATTATGGGAATATGGAAATTATGTATCTTAACTACTGTACAGCAAAACATTTGGCAAAATATGTCATGACAGTCTGATTAGCAAGTCTATTTCGTAGATCTACCACTGGCTCAAAAATCTTACTCAGAGCATGTTCATCAATGGCTCCACATCAAACTGGAATGGACTGCTACAATCTTCAGTTCTGGACTCTGCACTTGCAATGACTTGGATGAAGACAGAGAAGGAACGCATACCCAATCTGCAGATGATACAGAACTACAAGTCCTACTGTTTTTACTTCAAAGTCTTTTAGGACACATTTCAAATGTATGCATAAGTTTCATTCTGTTGTTTGTCACTGTTCAATTGCCTCCTGATTTATTTTATTTTATAGAGCTTATAAACTACTCCAGTCAGAACCCTCACTGAGCCTGTAAGCCCAGTAAATAGACTTCAATCTTGTCCCATAATTGTAAACTAAATCTGAACTAATTCTAACCAAAAAAACGAGTTAAATTTTTAGACTAACTTTGAAATAAAAATAGTATAAGTTCTAGGCCGGTGCAGCATACACAGCAGCTCTTGCATAGTACCCTTCAGTAACTTCTTAAAGCAGTTGCATCTTTTCCTGGGATCACGCTGTACAACTGTGTACAGGGTGCGCACATACACTTCGAGGTACCCTTTTCCTTTGATTCTAAGTACTGCAGAACCCTAAGATCACTCTGTTTAACTTTCAGTGCAATCCTATGTAAGCTTAGAATGAAGTAGTCATTCAGTGGGACTTAACTCTTTTCCAAACCTATTTAGAGTTGCAATCTTAAAACAGCGCAATCTTATGTATAACTATTTAAAAGAAAATTGCATTCAGCTCAAGGATACTTCCTGGAGTTAAATGTGTTGAGGACCAAAGACTGAAGAAATCAAAATGTTGGTTACAAATTGGATTCTGAGTACCAAAATCTCCTTTTAAAACCCCTTAAAAACTAACACTCAAATACATTCCAGATGAGAGGAAATCATAACCATTTTATATTCAAAATGAGATCATGAATGCCTCTGTAATTCCAAAGCAGCACAGATTTCTGTAGAAGTTTAACACTCTTTACAGAACATCCTGCCAGGAACTTTGGAAAGATGTAGCCAGTCATTGATTAGAGGCACTTGAGAAAGCTTTCAGTGAGCACCCTGAGGTCTCCCAGGATAGCTTTTAGGTAGGACAACTATATATTGCTGCCAAATCCAATCCCATCTTGCTGAAAACACATATTTCTATGCTGATGGTTACATTTCCACAAGAGACACAAATAAGGTCAAGCTTCTCTCTCTCTCTCACACACGCGCGCACACACGCACGCTGAGGCTTGAACACCACACCAGTCTGAGGATTTATTCTTTCCCAATGACATCTCTGCCAAGAGATTCCAAGATCCAATCTTGATCAGCAAACTCCCCGTTAAATGCAGCTCTCCAGATGCATGGAGACTCCAATATCCCTAACCCCAAGCTGCAGATGGCGCGGGGGGGGGGGGGGGGGGGGGGGGGGGGGGGGGGGGGGGGGGGGGGGGGGGGGGGGGGGGGGGGGGGGGGGGGGGGGGGGGGGGGGGGGGGGGGGGGGGGGGGGGGGGGGGGGGGGGGGGGGGGGGGGGGGGGGGGGGGGGGGGGGGGGGGGGGGGGGGGGGGGGGGGGGGGGGGGGGGGGGGGGGGGGGGGGGCGCTTGCGAGTTCAGTCTCAATTCATCCGGACAGCAACACCTGGCTTGGGGGAGGCCGACCTCGGGTCGTTCCCTGGTGTGTAGATGGCCACATTCCCACCCCGCGTGCTGCAATTTCTATGCACGGCGCACCAGGCGCGGAGTCGCGTTTTGGAAGAGTCCGCCGGCGCCGCCTCCTCCCAAGCGCTCGTTTCCGAGCAACAGAAAAATCCCAAAGAGCAGGCGGGCCTCGCTCTGCCTCCTCCGCCGCTGGCGCCGCTTACCTGCTTCCCAGCAGAGCTGCGGCCGATGCGAGTGTCGAGCAGGTCGTGAGGAGTTTCGTTGCCTTCGCTGGCGCTATAGAGGAGCCGAAAAGGGACGCTCTTCTGTCTCTCCCTGAAGCGATCCGCAGCCTTTCTCTCCATCTCAGTCAACAAGGTGTCTCCTGGGGGGTGGGGGGGACGGTAGCGGTCAAGCAATTCGGGCCGGAAGGATTTGGCTCATAAAGATGACCCTCAGTTACGGGGCGCGGGTGAAAAATGGGGCACTTGCTTTCCACTTCAAAGACAGAAAGCAAAGGCCAGCTCCATCTTACATACATACAACATATTCTGTGTGTGTGTGTGAGTGAGAGATTTGCTATGAGCGCCTTCCTACCCACACGCGCGCACGACACGCAGCTAACCCTGGTTCCTCTCTCCCGGGCCGGCGCCTGGACGCTGCACACTGCAGCGCCGAGAGTCACCCAACCCTCGAAGGCGAGCTCCTGGCGAGGCGAGCTCTTCCCGGCCCGTCGGGCGAACAGCGCCAGCCGCTCCCCCGCCGCACCCGCCGGGCGAAGGTAAGGGGGCTGTTGCCTGCGCTGCCGGAGCGAGCTT